AAAGGTTGCACAAAGTGATCGCATGACCTTGGGACACAGCAATGGTCATAAGTATGAACTGGTTGCCAAGCATCTGAATTTTGATCACATGATCATGGGGCTACTACAAAGGTCGTGAGAAAAACAGCCATAAGTCACTTTTTTTTCAGTGCCGTTGTAACTCTGAACGGTCACTAAACTGACTGTTGTAAATCAAGGACTATCTGTAGGAGATGCACCTCCCTTGGAAAAATGTGAACAACCTTTTGTTACATTATTACAATACATTCACCTATACCAGAGTTTCACTGCACTGTTTTCAGTGGATTTTTAGGGGAGGCGTTGATATGAAGACTACACTGAAAGGAGATAACAATAGCAAAATGTTTAAGAACACCTGGCTTAGGATAATGAGTAAATTTAGCTATCTTTACTCAATGTGATTTAGTCAAGCATGCAGGTGGCTCAACTTTTAGCATACAGGGAAGAGTGAAGAAGTCTAGGATTGGTTTCATTTGAATTTGACTGCTTCCTAGTATGATTTGATTGCTTATTGTATCCTATGACTATTATTAAGTGTTGTACCTTATGATTCTTGACGAATGTATCTTTTCTTTTTATGTACACTGAGAGTATTTGCACCAAGACAAATTCCTTGTGTGTCCAACCACACTTGGCCAATAAATAATTCTATTCTATTCTATTCTATTCTATTCTATTCTATTCTATTCTATTCTATTCTATTCTATTCTATTCTATTCTATTCTAATCTATTTGTGGTTGGACTGTGTATGCTCATCTGTAAACACACACACACACACAAAATTTCAAAGAGAATGCTTAGCTCCTTACAAGCAATTTTGGCATGAAATCTCCTGGACTATAATAAAAGCAGATACGCTACACAAGGGCAGGGCTTCAGGATAGAATATGGGATTTCTGCATCCCTACCTCCCATATGCCACCCCAGATTTTCCTCCACCACATTCCCACCCCAAAAAAGGAGAAGAAAGCTCCTTGAATTCATAGGCTTAATTCTTGAAAATGGGACTCTGCACATTTGTGTGTATTTAATCACCGCTGGCTGCACAATCTTATTTGGCAAAGTAAATAGAGAGAGAGAGAGAGAGACAATGCATGCAATTTCTGAAATTTTCTGCTTTTCTTTTTGACCTTTTTGTTATTTATACATTATCGATGCTTTCTCCGAACCATTGTACAAAAACACCTTGAAGTGTCAAGCTTTAAAAATGAGTCTTTTTTTCCTCTCTTTCTCCTGTGCAGCTTGGATTATCTTGGCCTTGTCAAAATACATTCTCTAGTTAGAGCTTGGAAATATTTCCCTCCTGGCTCCTCCGTATTGATTTTTTTCCACACTCAGTCCTGTCTGTCAGCTGAAGAGGTGAAAGGTGAAAGTTCATTCGGCACTGCCTGGCTTTACCTTCCTGTTAATGTCGTGCCCTTTCTGCATTTGATCAGTTTATGTGATCAGCAATAGAAGGGATCCTGAGCCAAGTCTACCTGTAGGGAAAATAATGTTTCATCTACCAGCGATTTTAACACAGGAACACACCTTAAGATTCAAGAGGCTCTTGCCATATTAAAATGAGGAAAGGTTATGGGGTGCCTCCTCTTTTCTTCTCTTCTTGGATTCTTCCTACCATACCATTCTGCCTTCTCCAGTGGAAAAATTCAAAGGAAAAAAAAAAAGCTGAATTAGTTTCCTTTGGAAGAATAATTGATTGCTGATTTATGCCCAATAAACTGTCCTTATCTAAATTCTTTCTTGGATGATTTGTTTTTTATGCAGGTGATAGGAGAAAAAGAAGTGCACATATGTTTACACACAGAATACAGATACACAATATGAGAGAGAGAGAAAGAGAGGGAGGGAAGGAGGGAGGGAGGGAGAGAGAGAGAAAAAAAGAGAGAGGGGGGGTTAATATATAATTAATTTCCAGGATGGAATTGCAATTCTAAAAAAAATGTTCATTTTGTTCCAGTTTAGACTTTTAAGTACTTTTCCCCCCCTTCCAAGTCTCATTCTTTATCTGCTGTAATGAAATGTCCCAAAGGGTTAAATTTACAATCCGGTAGGTCAAGGTTCAAGTCATGGAAACTCACTGGGTGATGTACCTCAAAAGGTTGTTGTAGTGGGTTATTTAAAAATAAGATGGAGAAACGATGCTCTTGGAGAAAAGGCAAGATACATATCCAGCAATTAAATAAAATGAAGATCAACCTAGAGAGCAGTCAAAACATGGCTGCTGTGGCTAATAGGGGAGCTCTTACGATTCATGGCTACTATGGCTAGATAACAGAAACTATGACCAAGTCAGCCTTTGCCCAGATTTATTTATATAATTTATTACATTTATATAAATGCCCATCTAAAAGGGACATGGTAACTGAGTGGCTAAGAGGCTGAGCTTGTCAATCAGAAAGGTTGGCAGTTCGGCGGTTCGAATCCCTAGCTCCGCTTAACCAAGTGAGCTCCCGTTACTTGTCCCAGCTTCTGCCAAACTAGCAGTTCGAAAGCACGTAAAAATGCAAGTAGAAAAATAGGGGCCACTTTGGTGGAAAGGTAACAGCGTTCCGTGCCCCTTCAGTGTTTAGTCATGCCGGTCACATGACCACGGAGGCGTCTTCAGACAGCGCTGGCTCTTCAGCTTTGTAACAGAGATAAGCACTGCCCCCTAGAGCCAGAAATGACTAGCACATATATGCGAAGGGAACCTTGACCTTTACCTTACTGCCCATCTCACATGCAACTTTGCATGGCAAGATGTCTTGAGTTGTGGCCCTTCCTTGTAAAGGAAACCTTGTCAACAATAAACTGTCTTCTCACCTCCCATTAAGTACTGGAATATGTTCTGCATGGAGCTATTTTTTTAAAAAACTACTAGGAATTTGCAATTGATGCCAAATGGAGCAACTTGCTTGTTGATGGGTGATTTTGCTATGGATACCTAATACAGATTCTGTGGCCGCTACATTGGCTACCAATGGCTACCCGGAATAATTCCAAGGATTGTTTTTGATCCTCTTCTTTTACTGTGCACATCTCAAATGTTGGCTTTAAGGATGCTCTCCACAAACAATCCTGGGTTGGGTAATGTGAGAAACTTCCATTTTTCATCAGTAGCCCCCTTGCCATGGAAAAGCTCACAGCCAGTAGTCCAGATGGATTTGAAACCACTGTACTGCTTTTTTTTTTGAAAGTTTATTTTTATATTAAAATATTGCCAATGCTTTTATTCTACTTCATTGTCTGTTGCTGTAAGTTTCCATGGAGTAGTACAGTAAATAAATACATTTGATTCTTCTCCACCCTAACATCCAGTGAAATGGAGGAGAATCTAGAAACACCCAGGAATTGCCAAGCTGCAATTCCTAGGATTACTGCAGGAAAATACGAATGGCAATATTCAACAATTCTAGAAAGCCAGAATGCTTTGCTATGCTTCCAATCTACTCAAATGTAGAATTCATCAGTGCAGTACTGCTAAATTCTCTGCCATTTGCCAATGTTGAGTACATGCAGTATGCATGGCACTATTATTCATGTTAATGTATTCTAGGTACCATTGAGGTTTTGATTATTTCATGGGCAAGTGCCCAGCATTGTTATAAGCTAGTTTCAGTAAAACTCACTTTATAAATTTAGTAGTAACAGATCATTAATATTTTGACCTGTCTCTGGCAGAAACTTGTAGCTTTTCCAAAGGATGCTTCTGTGACCTGATTCCATCCATCCATTTTATTCTTTTTATTCACTGTCTTCATGCCAATCATCATCAATTTGTGTAGTCCATCATCTGCTTGCAGATGTGAGTTTCTGTTTGTTGATCTTTGCCTCAAGGGAGCAGTCAGTCTGCCTGTGGCCCAGGACTGATTGAGTGATTGGTTCTTCTTGTACTCCATGACACTCTTGGTATTGTCTCCAGATCCATAATTTGGAGAGGTCCATCTTTTGTCTCTTTTTTGCTCTCTCTCTTTTTCAACGTCTGGCTTTCCTAGCAATACAGCACTATGGAACGTATTGAAGAGTTGCTTTGATTTGTTTATGCATATGATATTGTCATTACCTGTTTCCCTTCTAGGATTAAAGATCTCTTTCAGTTTTTCAGCATGTTTCATCCGTTCTCGAAATCAAGCAAACAAAACCATTGACATTCATTTGCCATCAAGTGTTAAGTCCAATTCATGGAGAGCCTTATTTACAATGGGTCTCATGCAAACAGACAGTGTTGCTAAGTGGGATGGTGAAAATTAGAATGCAAGTGCAATTTAGTGTTGTTTTAGAGAAATTACCTATTTATGTCCTCTCTATCTGGACAGCAAATAATAAGAATCGTGCAGTTTCTTAGAGGCAAACATTTTAATCAGTTACCATACACTGCGACTTCAGTAGTGACAACATTTTCATACAGGTGTCTCATCATGTCATCTTTTGCTTGTAAACTGCCAATGAAGCCACGCACGTTGCTACATTTACAAGGACAAATCCAAATACAGTACTAAACAAATCAATAAAACACTAAAAGCTTACACCGGAATGACAATACAAATTTTACTGCAGTGCTGAAAGATCTAGGCTATGATGAAATTTACAGTGAGGGCTGAGTAAGTCTCTCCGATGCAGATTTGCATAAGGGGAATCTTAGGGGAATTTGAGAAGCCTTGGCAAAAATCCACTCAGTGCTATTCTAGCATAGCACTGTTCGTTTCAGTGAAAGGAGCCATGCAAGGCTCCTGTGCCGGGCCAAGTGGATTGTTCAAGTAACCAGTACATAAATATTGATTTTCCTGTTAAATTACTCCTTTGTAGAGGCCAGGTTTTCTATTGGTCTGCTTTTGTTTGAACAGACATAATGCATCAAGTTATGCATCTGCCGAAGACACAGCTCCAAGAGTTCATCCCTCCCACGCCATCGTAATATTCAAAATAGGTTTAGATCCTTCATAGCAGCAAATAATGTCTTGTGGATGAAAGCAGGTGGATGTGTTTTTCCATCACATCTCAAAATGCTGGAAATTCTTTGTTTGAAAAACAAGACATGGTAAAATAAAAGGAACAGTTACAGCCGATTGTAACATTTGGGAACCGGACATCCTCCACTCAAAACAAAGATGGAAGTTTCCTATAAGCCCTGCTGAAATTGTGCAGCACAACTTTAAAGATTTGCTCTCCTTTTGCATAACACAGTGTAGTATGTTTGGAATATCTAAGTTGGGCTTCCATGTTATAAATGCAGAGAGCCTGCTGTATATCAAATGGGAGTCACTTGCTGGTTCTTCAAACTTGCCTTGTGATAGGTGGCATTTTTTTGTCTAGATCCTGATGCATATTATTATATATTTATCTTTTCTCCCTAGGTCACTGGTTGTTGTAAGGAAATTCATAGTATCATATTGTAGGTAACTGTTAGACCAGGGGTGTCAAACTGGCGGCCCATGGCCCAGATGCATCACGTGCTGGCCATGCCCACCCCAGCTCCACGAATGGGAAAAATGTCGTGAAATGTCACATGACAACAGTGAGTTTGACACCCGTGTTTTAGACTATGTTTTGAAGGGAAACCAAAAACCTTCTCCTTACTGGAGTGCATTTTTTAATTGGCAACCCTCAGATTACCATAATGTAGGCTTTGGCCCTTAGTAGGCCTACACTAATAATAGGCTCCAAGTGCCCTGCAAACATTTTAGCTACAAACTCCCACAATCCTTTGCTTCTGGGTTGATGGCAGCTAGAAATCCAAACATCCCAGGAGATTGGAGAGTCCCTGCTGAGATGCAACAAGTACCATTATGCAGATAGCTTAGTAAATTTGGAAAGCTGCCTCGCCAATTTGCCTTATTGCTTGGAAATGGGTCTCTGCAGAGTCTTGTTTATTTCAGGAAATATTAGCTAACCTTGCAGTAAGGAATGTGCTTTTTTCCTCTCACGCATCATTCTATGGGACCACATAGATTGAAGGAATCAATGTGGGAAAAGAATGTGTGGATAACAGAAGAAATTATACATAATAAAAAAGAAAGTTATCTGACAGGGAGTATCCCTATATATCATTGACTGTACCGTTTATGCTGTCATTGTAATATAATTCAACAATGGTGTACAATTCTGGGAATTCCGGGGAAAGTACTCATAACCAGGTGCACACATGATATGTTTCTTTAACCCCCCCCCCCCCCCGCCCCTCGAAAAACTGAAAATTTACAACTGAATTTATCTCCACCAAACCATAGGTCAAAAGCACAAAATTACGGTGCTGTAAAACATTTTGAACAATTCTCAACGCAACGAATTATGGCTGATATAATGCTAGCTCCCACTAAATTGTTTGATAATAATATCAATGTATGCAAAGCACCAGGAATGTTTCAGTGCTATGTAGGAAGGCAAGATGATGGACAACATTCATTTCTGGGGAGAGGATACAGATGCTCTGCTCCAAAAAAAATGCATCTAGTTGTCCTTCTTGATTCTTCATCCTTCAATTTCCACAATCAAATTTTCCGCAGGTGCAATTTTTGCTAAATTTATCAGCATGCATTAAGAGCAGTTTCTCTGTATTCTCATATTCAAGTCTAGAAGTACATGTATACTATACATACAGTATGTTTAACACACCAGCATTTCAATAAAATATTTTCTACATTTTTCCCCCCTCAGCTGTATAAGGAAGGGAGTGGGGTGGGAGACAGACAATGTTTTTCAGGAAAAATAAATATATAAGACATAGGCGATATGTGAATGCTAATCAGCCTGATTAAGGATAACACTTGAAATGGACCCGAAGGTTAACTTTTCTTCATATTTCTTGCAATAATGATAAAGATATGTTTTATTAAATAATTCTAACTCTTAAGTCTCTTTCCTCTGATTAATCCAAATGATATAAGTTTGCTGTATCATAATTAGTGACATACTTATGTCACAATAGAGTTTGACGATATAAATCTGAACAGTCTTCATTTTTTTTTTTGCAAGAGGAAGCTGTAGAAGAGCTCATTTGTGGATACATAGATATGATATTGATACATATAATAGCAGCAACTATCATTATCCCCATTATCTCTTTCGTATTCTTGTGTAAATTTTCACTGAAGGGGAAATTCTTTTTCCCCAACCTAAAAAACATAAAATCACCTTTTCACTAATGGGAATATGCCATTGTTTCCATCTTGATTAGAAATTACACAAAGAAAATGATTTCTCCTTTTCTATACATTTTCTTACAAAATCCCAAACCCGAACTATGTAATGGGTCTTTAATGCCATTAACCAGTGATATTAGTACGGTAGGCATCTCAGATTCTAGATATATATGTGCCATATGACTCTCTTTTTTTTTCAGGTAAAAAATGCCAAAAGAGTACATGTGGGACTTGTGGATCTTTCCTGATCCTATCAGAATTTCAGAAAGGGACAGAGCATTCTTACTCCAAGATCTTCCAAGAACTTGGAAGAATTTCAGTGTAAACACATAAGCTTTGGTAAACATGACATTTCAAAACACTTCAAAGGAATTTTTTTTCCATTTAGGCTCTGAGGATTTTAGCATTGGAATGATGAGATTCAGACTAGCTTTAAAAAGTTGTGAAAGTGATTTTCTTTCTCAAAGTCAGCAGAAATCAAGATTCTCACCAATCTAGCCAGACTCAAGTTATATTCTCAATTCTCCTGTTTTATTTTTTTCCCTTCTCGTAGCGATAAAGAGAAAACTCTTGCAAGATGTTCTAATTGCTGAATGGGTTTGCGTTTCTCTAAAATTAAAGTTCTCTTGGCAATTTTAAGATGCGTGGACTTCCGATTCCCAGAATTCTCTAGCCAACTGGCGGGGGAATTCTGGGAGTTGAAGTCTATGTATCTTAAAAGTTGCCCAGGTTAAGAAACACTGCTCTAAAGGAGCTATGCAGAAGCAAGGAGAACATATATTGCCTGGCCAATCCTGGTCCATAAATCTTTGGGTATTTAATACCTCCAATATTAAGATCATAAAGAGGGTAGAATCAATTTACAAGAACTTTCAAGACACATTTGTACTGAGAACTGGGGTTGGTGGGTTGTGGGTGGGGGGGGGGGGGGGGGGGGAAGAAGCCTCTTTCACACACCCTGACTTTACACCACAAATCGATGTTCTTTGCCATCGTGGGCCATCAGGATAACATTGCGGTTCGAAGTCCAGATAAGCCTGACCAGTTTGAGGGCATTATGTGAACCTGGAGATGCAGGTTGGACTGGAGGCACCTGGTAGGTTTTAATACAACGGAGCTGCGGTGCAGAATTCAGCATCCCGATGCTTCCCAAAAGAGAGGTGTTCATCTGGCATTGGGAGAAAGGGGAGAAAAAGAAGAAGTCAGCCATTACTGAAATCCATACATTTGCCTTATGAAGGGATATGGATAGCCCTTGACTTAAGACCATTCATTTAATGACCATATGAACCAGGGGTGGGAATCAAAATTTTTAACAACCAGTTCTGTGGGCGTGGCTTAGTTGGTGGGCATGGCTTGGTGGTCATGTGACTGGCTGGGTGTGGCCAACTCAACATCACTCACATCGAGGCACGCATCTCTTTGCCAGGCCTCTCATGACTGTGGGGATGCTGCAACAGTCGTAAGTGTGAAAAATGGTCATAAGTCACTTTTTTCAGTGCCATTGTAACTTTGAATGGTCACTCCACACAAGCAAAGTACCAGCAAAGGAGGGGAAAAAAACTCCAGAGAAGTCCCTAAGACAGGAAGTCTAGTCCTGCCAAGAATGTAATAAGGGTTAATGGAGAGGCAGTTTCTATAAGCAACACCAGAATGTTTCCTTCCTGCCTTCCTTACAGGATTAGGCCAGTAATTTCTTCTAACAACCGGTTCTCCGAACTGCTTATAACAACCGGTTCTAGCGAATAGATGCAAACCTGTAGAATCCCACTCCTGGTTTGAACTCACAACAGGACTGGAAAAAGAATGGCTTATGACCCATCCTCACATCTACGACTGTCCCGAGGTCCCCGTGGTCACACAATCCAAATTCAGGCACTTGGCAACCGGTGTGTATTTACAATACTTGCAGGATCATCTGATTACCATTAATAGAATAGAACAACAGAGTTGGAAGGGACCTTGGAGGTCTTCTAGTCCAACCCCCACCCCCCGCCTAGGCAGGAAACCCTAATGTCCTTTCCAAGGGTGGTTCTGACAAAGTCAATGAGGGGAAAAGCCAGATTTGCTTGTCAAACATGGGGATTCACATCAACCACGGCAAAAAAAAAGGTTGTAAGATCGGGCCTGACTCACTTAACAATGGTATCACTTAGCAACAGAAGTTCTGGCTCCAATGGTGGTCATAAGTCGAGGACTACCTGCAATAGAGCACTGAATATCCTAAGAAATTCCCTAAAAAGCTGAGGAAATTCCTCGAGTAAAACTTCATGCTGCTACCAACGCCACTTCGGTCTTCGGTAAAGATCAGCTATAGTTTCATCTTATGCCAATAAATGGCGTCTTAAGTCCTGAAACTCAGGAGCCTTTTTGCAAATATTCTGGATGAGGCTGCCATATCAACCTCATTTGCCCTTTTGGCTGTTTTTTTTTTTTTTTTTGTGTGTGTGTGAGGGGAATCCATAAAGACAATTTAATTACAGCTGCCCAAGAAAGCTATAATTTCTGAGGCCATTTCACACTCTATTTAGAAGTTCAATTTTTACCTCATTCACCTTGAAAAGTGATAGCATGTACGCACGCGCGCGCGCACACACACACACACACACAAGACACACCATCAACAAAGGCAAAAGCTTTAAGCTTGTGTTAATTTTTTATCAGAGAAGATCTGACATTCACTGAAGTCTTAATGGGAAAGGTGCCATTTAAGACTTTTTGTTCAAGTTTGCCATCATAAATCCACCAAGCAATCTCTCTCTTTCTCTCTCTCTCTCTCTGTATATTTGTATGTGTATGCATTTGTGTGTGAGAGAGAGAAAGAGAGAGAGAGAGAGACCTCTGCATTTGGGTCATGTGGTTCTGGCTTTTCATTTTGCCTCTTTAAGGTCAGCAAGTAGACAAATAGTTACTGACAAGTGAATACATCTCGTCCCATCTTTCTAATCAAACTACTAATGTAACCTTCTGGCATTGCTCCAAATATGAGCTGATCAGTGGAGAATAGTGGGGTGAGGGTAATCTTTTTTGCACTTTCTATGGGTAGGCAGAACTTTTGCCACCATTTTTTTTTTTTGAGAGAGGGTTATTTTAGTTGTGGGAAAATGAAGACTGGGCTTTATAGAGAAAGTACAGCTGATAGTCAGAGCGGGAGTCTGTGGATGAAATAGACCTTCTATTTGAGTTTTTAGAGAATATCAGACAACTTGTGACACAGACACCCACCCAACCCTAAACTTGGCTCATCATTTCAGAGACATTTCCTTACCACAAAGGCAGAGTTTCAAATGTACTTGAAAAGTTCGTAAAAATCCAGACAGATATTCAGAGGTGTATCTGTCTTGAAAGTAGCCCATACAGAACTGTACAGCACAGTCAAACACCAGGAGCTGACCACAGAAAGTATTTTATGACATTTCGTATTATGGCATGAAATGCTTTGTGATAATTTTTATACCATAAAATATTTTACAAAATTTGCCCAATTTCAATTCCACAGAAGTTGCCTGTTTCGTAGGGCTGAGGGAGTGAGTGACTGGTCCAAGATCACCCAACTGTCTATGTGCCTAAAGCAGGACTAGAATTCACAACCTCCTGGTTTTAATCACTACAACACACTGGCTGTGTTTGTAATGCAATAGTCTCATTTAAAAATCTTTGTTAACCTTAGAACTCATTAGATCAGGAGTGGAGTAACTTTCTTTTGACCTGGCACTATTTATTTATTGCCTACCTTGGCGGCATTTTACCTCTTTTGTGTGTGTGTGTGTGTTAAGAAGAAAGGAATCAAGGGATCAAGAAACAAGCAAACAAAAATAGCACTGCTGAATCCTGGCATTTTGCCCTTAAATTTCACTGTTCCCATTTCTGGGATCTGCAATAAGATGTGGGCGAGTTTATGCCACTTGTGGATTGGTCCCCACTTCTGTCCTAGGTGGTAATGAATACACACCTGTCCCAAAGATGCTTTTTCAGGAGGCAACTGGACTTTCTTGTTTTTTTTTCTTTTGAAGACATTTCGCTCCTCATCCAGGAAGCTTCTTCAACTCTGATAGGATAGTGGGGCTGGATATCAGAGCTGAAGAAGCTTCTTGGGTGAGAAGTGAAACATCTTCAAAAGAAAAAAGTCCAGTTGCCTCCTGAAAAAGCACCTTTGGGACAACCATGACCTGGATGACTGAGAATCTCTACAGACTGTTAAATACACATCTGTGTTTTCCTGATAACTCTCTCTGCAAATTAAAACATTCTGAGCTGAGTTCACAGGCTTCCTGGTAATCCTGCTGTGAGAGATCTATCTGAAGTGCTTCCAGTAATATAAATGCATTATATAAACACTAGATATTATTATTATTGATACTCTCCTGCACAAATCCTTCCATGAGATGCTTTGCAATCTAAGCATCATGTAGACCAGTTCCTAAATGCTGCGAAGCAACTGCAATTTACTTGAAGTCTTGGTGCCAAGGATCTCCTAAGGTTTTCTGGATATTTATGTTTATCTCCAGAAAAAACATCCTACTCTTGCATACACATGTTCTTCTAACTTACTTCCCCCCCCCTCTTTGCACCGTTCAAAGAGGAAAGTAGCAAAAGTAAATAGGAAAGCTCTTGCACTGATTTATGAACCGAGCATTAATATTTTGCTGGAAAACTGCATGTTTTTTTTTAAATAAAAATAATCAATGTCAGGCAAATGTTACGCAGCTCAATTCTTTCCTCTATCCACCCGATGTGTATGCATATTAAATGATTGTAATTGCACCATCCGTCAACAAGCACAGTTTTCTCTGCTTTTTGCTGCTTCACAAATAAGATAGGGTATTTAATTCACACACCATTTTGAAATAAATGCAATATTTTGAATTGCAATGGGAATGGTGGAGAGGAAGCATTAAGAGGCATCGGTTTCTCCTCTTTGTGTCGGTTCCCTAAGCAAAACATCCAGGAAACAAGCCCTTGAATTCCAACTGGAGCTTCCAATTCACTTGATAACTGGCCTACTTAGATCACTTTGTTATGTAGGCGATGTGCCTGTGCAAAGAAATGAATGGTTCCGTTAATCAGCCAAACCCATTAGGAGTGGAAACCTTCCTAGACCAGATGAGGATGGCAGAGTCAGCTGTGCGCCTGAGATTGTGACACATGGAAACCTTGGCATATTCTGGGATGTTTTTTAAGATGTGCTGCTGCCGATATCATGTTCTGAATCCTGATCAGTGCAACAGAGAAGCCATTACTTACTTTCTTTAAAAAAAAAAAAAAAATTCCTTCCTGGTTCTTCTGAACAACGAAATGGTGCCAGAGAATGTAAATCTCTAGCAGGGAGAATGCAAGCCCCAATGACATTTTCACAATTTAAATCATCTTGAGTAATAACCCTTTTAAGATGACTAATGTTACTGATTTCCTTGCATTAATAGCAGTGCTGAACAGACCCAGTGGAGGGAGAGGAGGAATCACTAATACACAAGACTACGTTTTTAAATAAATGTAACATGCTGGCTATTGTTAACTCCTTCTGTTTAAGCTACCGTTTAAAAAGAAAATAAAATCAAGGGGGAAGAATATTCACAGCTAGAACTAAGCTCAGCAGTTTATTATCATATCTGCTGAGGGATGGGTCTGCACTGAAGCAGGCTTGCTGCGGCCACTCCCCCCGGTAATCTTAGATGATCATGTAAAACATCTCAATCAATAAGCTTGATTGCTTTCTAGATCTTCCCACTTAACCGAACTAAATACATGCAAGTGATGGAAGAGCATTTTCGCAGTTCTTATTCATTGCTTCCTAAATAACACACTCTGCGATGACGGGCGATAAATTCAATACTCTTAATGATGCACAGTTATCATCAAATTAATGTAGAAAGTAACAGTAAATTAAAATTATGCACTAGGTGATAGTTACAGGGATACCGAGTCCGAGGTAGCAATAATTCTTGCCGCTGCAGCTTTTTCCTTCATTGAGCCATCCGCTTACAAAAGCAGGCATTCCAAACAAAAGGCACAATTTCACTAAAGGGTTGTATGTTGTGGAATCAGGAGACGCAATAGCTCAGAGGGTTCGAGACCCACAGTGTCGTAAGATGGGGTGAGCTCCTGTTTCTTGCCCCAGCTTGTCCATCTCGCAGTTCGAAAACATGCAAACCAGTGGTGGGATTCAAAAAGTACCACTGGTTCAGTGGGCGTGGCTTGGTGGGCGCTCTTTGCATGTGCGCAGGCGCCAAACACGCACTTTGCGCAGGCACAGAGGCGTTTGCGCAGGCTTTCTAACTCACCTCCTGCAATCCTGCACTCCCCATTGCTTCAACAGCTACCACGCAGCATTCTGCTGTGCCGCGCAAAGGAGCCGCACTTCAAAAGCAGGGGATAAAGGTGAGTATGGGAGCCCGGGTGGGTGGGCAGGTGGGCCCAACAGTAGAGAGAACTGGTTCAGTCTCCCCTGCTCATTGCTGCTACCGGCTTGGCAGAACCGGGCCAAACCGGCAGAATACCACCACTGATGCAAATGCAAGTAGATAAATAGGTATCACTTTGGTGGGAAAGCAATAGCATTCCATGCACCTTTGGCGTATGGCCATGCCGACCACATGACATTGTCTTCAGACAACGCTTGCGCCCTTGGCCAACAAACGGAGATGAGCACCATGCCCTAGAGCCAGATATGACTGACAGGGAAACCTTTACTTTTGTGTAATTGGTTTAAGCAGATGTTGTGTAGGGGAACATCCTGAGATATGTTGGGCTACATTTTTAAAGCTTTCACCTGCCATTTTGTTTGGGAGTATGTTCTTCCATGACTCAGGTTTGAGCATTAAAAACAACGATGACAACAACAACTGAACACTACATTTATTCCATATCTGTAGTTAAATTGTACAGTCCATTGAATACTGAGCCGTCCTCTTGGCACAGCTCAAAGCAGAACTGTCCTCTGTGATTTAATAAAAATGCTTCATAAAGTATTTGAAAAGATTCCATAGGGAACTGAAGGTAGCCCTTGACTGACAACCATTGATTTAGCGATGAGAGTTTACAATGAAAAAAGTCCCATACAGCCAGCCTTCTTGCTTGTGATTGTCGCAACGTCCCTATGGTTGTGTGATCCAAATTTAGGTGCTTGGCAACTGGCATGTATTTACAATGGTTGCAGCGTCCTGGGGTCATGTGTTTGCCATTTGCAACCTTCCCAGCAGTCAATGGGAGGAAACTGGATGCATTTAACGACGTGACTGGCTTAATGACTGTGGCAAAAAAGACTGTAAAATTGGGTGTGACTTACTTAACAACTGATTTGATGGCAGTAGAAATTCTGGTCTCAACTGTGATTGTAAACTGAGGACTACCTGTAATTTGAAATAATTTTTTCTGTTTGAAATAGAAAAGCAAATGGTGCCCGGCTCAAAGCTATGATATATCTGGAGTTTATCTCTGGTTTCTATCCAAAAGCGACTGTTGCAAACAATGGCCACCACAAAAACTGTAAAATCAGGCCAGTCATGAGATAACCTGATTAATGACCAGCAGGATTTATGACTGTAATCCCAGCTCAATTACAGTCGTAGGTCGATTATTACCTATAGCAGGGGACCCCCCCCCAAGTCTGTGGATTGAGACCGGTCCATGGTATGCTAGAAACTGGGCCGTGCAAACAACCGAAGCCCCATCCGTGGGATGTGGGCAGCACACGAAACCACGTTCCCTCCAGTCCACGGAAAAACCTCTCTCCATGGAACCGGCCCTTGGTGCCCAAAAGGTTGGGGGTCACTGACCTATAGTTTAGGGGACAGGCACAGTATAGACCCAGATTAAGGCTCAGCTTTACCTATAGTAATTTTGACCAGTCTCTTAACCCAGTTTATCTCAGAGCATTGTTGTGGGGAAAAAAAGAGAGCACATGATGTACTAATAGGTAGTCCTCGATTTACAATAGTTCGTTTAGTGACTGTTTGAAGTTACAACAGCACAGAAAAACGTGACTTATGACCGTTTTTCACACTTACGACCATCACAGTATCCCCATGGTCACGTGATCCAAATTCCAATGCTTGGCAATCGATTCATATTTATGACGGTTGCAGAGTCCCGGGGTCATGTGATCACCCTTTGCGACTTTCTTGACGGGCAAACTGGATTCACTGAACAACTGTGTTACTAATTTAACACCTGCAGTCATTCACTTAACAACGGTGACAAGAAAGGTTTTAGAATGGGGCAAAATTCACTTAACCACAGAAAGGTTGGGGCTTGATCACGGTCGTAAATAAGTGAGGACTACCTCTATCACAAACCAAATAAAAATAAACTATCGGGGACTTACCTGCCAGAAGGAAATGTGACTATCAGTGTTGGAGTAAGTGGCAAGGTACCGACCATCGGGTGCGAAAGCCACTGCTGTTATTGCCCCTTTATGGCCATGAATTGTCTAAATAACAATAAGAAAGCAAGACAGAGAATTAGCATTTCATAACATATAACATTACGTGATTGCAGTCTTAGGTTAATACACAATTTCTAAACAAGGTCACTCTTCAAATGATTGGAAGCTGTGTTGGTTATTTTACAGAACAGACAGGCGATGTAACCCAAGCTTCAAAATGTACTGTCTATCTATCTCACTCTGATCCAACCTCACAGCTGTAAAATTCTCAGACTTCTGAATATTAGTTTCAAATACAGCAAAACCTATAATATTTCAGGAATTATTATTTTTTTTGGGGGGGGGGGAGAAAACCACCCCCCTGTCTGCAGTGATTTTCCCTCATCATCCATGAATGCTGAATAAAAGACCAGAACAGCATTTTATTATGAACAGCTAGCTCTACC